GCATTTTAGCAGGATGGATGCGAAGCATTTTTAAACAAAGGTAATAATCTTTTACTTAAAAAATAATGCTGGCAATGCAGCACACCAGGCTCTAATAGAATATTATGAATAGTCAAAGCAAATGAATGGATACAATGAGTTGAACAGGGGATGCTCCAGGAGTGAAAGCAACACAAACACCAAGGACTTATGGGTAACAAGAAAATGAGCGTGCTAATGATTGATGCAGACAAGCGATGAGTAATTCCAGAGCTCACAGTCAAACAAACTGCTTGTGGCACTAATACTTGTGCCCAATTACCAATTCAGAAAGAAAATAAAAAGCAGTTTCAGTAGAGTCAGGGTGGGAAATCTCCAATTAGCACCAATTAGTGAAGTTGCTTCCTAGAATGCGATTCTGGGGACGTTAAAAAAAAATTCTCCCAAGATGCTTGATGGAAGCATTTAGGTACCAGGTGATGCAACTCCTAGAGTATAACTTGGTGAGGCTCTGTGCCTATGGGACGTGAATGTAGATACTAGTTGGAACTTGCCTGCTCGATTTGACTGGTCAATCATGGGCTGTACTATTCTTCTTCTGGCATTAATAAACCTGAAATAGAACAGAGAAGTCCCATCATCCAATGCGGTATCTGCACCCTATCAGCCTTTGGCACGAACGCCGCGGAGGATATGACGCTGTCAAACGTCTACTGAGAACTAGCTTTCTGACCCAAAGGCAGTTTTCCCTTCGCAGCGCTCAGAAACCGTTGACTGGCTCATCTCCATCATCAGATAACCAGGTCGGGGTTGACTTTTGGACAAAGGCTCAGCAAGGGAATCGAGCTTTCCCTGAGAAAAGGTCTACTAATTTGCAATCGTACTTCTGCTTCTTGAACAAGGTGGAATCCGGTTGAAGTTCACCGGCTGGAAGATTTTCCCCCTTTCCCTAAACTCCCCATCATAGGGAGAGACCTAGCTTCCCCTTGCAGCTGGTCATAAATGGAGACCAGGCGCTGGCACTCTGCTTTCACAAGGTATTGTTAGGTCAGCAAAGCCATCAATTAGGCTGTCTGAAGTTTTATCACCAACACAGCAGTAATAAGTGCTGGCCAGAAAGACTTCTGCTCTTTGGCTACTCCTGCAGTTTAAGCCTGTAAAGTTAGGGGTCATTTAGAGGTCAGTGCCAGCTGGGGGCGGCCTTTCCAGTCTAAGCTGGGACACCCAGGGCAGGGATAAGGTAACTGCCAACCATAAACCCAGCCACCTTTCAACCCACTAGAAAGACACAGCCTCAGGTACACATGGTTGATATTAGAGCCCAAGAAACGCTTTCGAATCAGGTGGTGGCTGAATCACAGGAATGTAAAGGAGAAGCAGTTATTTCGTCTAGCAGCCTGGATCTAATTTTGTTGGAAATCCAAAAATAAGTGCCTACTTCATGTTACTTTAATGTTTAATAATGCCCATCAAATATTCATGTACAAACAGAGTAAGATGATAAGAAATCTCCTTTATTTCTCCAAATTTAATAAAAACAAAACAATTTTCTACCATTTGCGAGTTACCCTTGTGCCTGTGCATTGAATGGTGTGCACTGCCCACAACATGTGAACTGACACGTGGGCCTCCCTGGCCATGCATTTGTTGGGGGTGGGGGGGCACGGAGGGAAGGGAGGGTGCCTAGAAGGTAGCCAGCAGCTCCTTAAAAATATACCCACTTAGAACGTTTCCCAGTATTTCCAGTTTCTAATCTTAAGTGCAGGGGACGTCGTGATTAATGAGTCCGCATGGGGCCACAGGCAGAAACTGAAACCCCATTCTCTGAAATTAGCCAGAAAAATTCTAGTGTGTGTTGGCAGCTCTGCGTTCCTAAGGAGTTGAAGTCCTTTCCTAGGAGGACAGCAGCCCACACTCGTTCAGGCCTCCTGTGAGCATTCTAGAGGGAATACAATTAGGCTGCAGAATAATAGCTGCAAGAAAACCAAAGGAGTCTTTTGCATATGCTGTTTGTTTGCAAAACAATGAACTTCTTTATTACTTAAGGAAGTGCAGCTCAGTTGTCAAAAATGTTACACCCTCTCAAGGTTTGGGGAAACAAGTGACAGGACTCGGAGAGGTGGAAACAAAAAAAAGCTGAAACTGCATGTTTATGCCCACCTGGCACGTAAGTGTTACGGAGGAATATTTGACCAGATCACAGAGCGTTCCAGAAGCATCTCTTAGATCAGAAAAGGAACTTAATTATCTGCTCTTTCCCCACTGTCTTGACGGGGACCAAGGAGGACTGACCTGGGATTCTCCCCTCTAGGAACTTGTTTTAGCTGCGCAGCTGAAGACCAACTGAGATGCGCTGGAGAGCTGGAGAAACGTTTTCTCTCCTCCTTGAAGTTTCTAATGGAGGACGCAGATGGCAGAGGCTTCACCTCTTTTTATGTGCTACTAATCCTGGTTTTGTTTCTTCCTACAGGCCAACTCTTTCGGTAAAACGAATTGCGATTTTTTCCCTTTTTCATTTCACCCTTTTACTCTTTTATTATTTACATCTGGAGGTTGTTTCCTTATTTATGTCTTTCTCCCCAGTTCCCCCAAACACTCCCTTCCTCACAGAGCTGCAAGGCATCATGGTTCTTAGTTCTCAGCAGGAGAACTCCACACTGTCTTCAAACAAATAATTACGGGGAAGGTTAGAGGTTCACTCAAAGGTCATTTCTTTGGATACTCGTCAGAATGTTTACATTAGTAAAAACGGGGTCCGCTCAAAAGGATGTTCAATGGGGGACACACCACAATGCAGAACATTAAAAAAGCATTCTGTGCGCTAGCAGGTCTTTATAGAAGCGCTGAACTTGGAAATGCCACTCTGGTATTACATTTTCAACTAGTTACCATGGCATGGACTGGATGTTCACTAGCAGTTATGACGATGGCCTTTCTTTGCCCAGTTCTGCTAAACAAATACGCATAGAAGCCTCTGAAGGTTTTCAACTAGATCCTTTTACAAAGGGTCAGAGAGATTCTGCTTTTGTTTTTTTCACTTGGGTTCCATTTAGCTTCTCTGAATTTTTGTTCTCAAACAATGTTTTTGATCCATAGTGTTCTATCTTGCCAGGATCATAATTCTACCACATTCTTTCAAATCACACAGAATTTTAAAAACATATGGGGCCCAATGTTTCAGAAATCTCTAAACTTACAACTCCTGCCAATTGTCAACTCCCCTGATCTTGGGATATCTTACAAACACCATAGATGTTGTTATTAAAATTACCAATTAATGAGTTGACTTTAAGAATAATTTAACACTTAAAAAAATGAAATTACCCTACTGTACTGATGATCCACAGGCCACTCTTAGAAAACCCATCAAAGTACATAAAATGGAGCCATGTAACTACAGATTTTAAAAAAACCAAACAAGGAGTAATTTTTATCTCTTTAGTATTACTAATAGAATTTCCAAATGCAACCTTTCCCTAAATTACATGACATGAAATTTTTTCCACTTCCTCTGATCTATATTTTAAAAATGACCTTATTCAATGCTCAAGTAGTAAACAGAATATCAAGTTTGATTCTACTTAAAATGTGAGGAGTCTAAAATTGAGACTCAACTGATCTTCAATCATTCAAGGTCCAAGCTCCATTCAGATGGAAAAATGCAACTCACGGGTTCAAAGACAAAAGACTTGTCTTTAAAAAGGCTCAAAAGGTTTTTTTGGATATTAAATGGGTCTTACAAAATAACATTTTGATGAGTTAAGTGTAAATGAATCAGACACATATGGATTAAGTTATCCTTGAATTTCACACGGGTTTAAAAAATAAGGGGAAAAGAGGGTCTTGGCAAAAACATTTTGGACTTTGCCAAACCCAAAACATTTGAAAAATTGCTGAAGACATCCAACTAACCAAAATGCAGCAAGCTGCACCCGACTTTAATGAAAACCCCCGCAAGTTATTTCCAATTCAAAGACTGTTAAGTTTCTCATCTGTATCTGATATTAAAAATTTTTCTAAAGTTTTAATGTCATCCCAGAATGATTCTGAAGTTGAGGACCTATAATACACTTCTTTATTGGTAGAAACAATTTAACCTGAAATTACAAAGTCTTTTAGAAATTAAATAGCTCTTAAAAACATTTTGAGATTTGTAAAACTTGTGTGTAAAATGTGCCATATATGATAAATGCCATAAATAAAATGTGCCAGGAAGCCTAGTGCCTTATCCAGATTTTACGTAGAAAAAAAATTTTCATTAGCCTCACGGTGACTTTTTTTTAAGGGCTACAGATAATTCCATTAGTGACTCCATAGGGAATGAGTACCCTAAAGTACACTAGTTCCATTGATTTGTATTGAACACAAACTTAGTATCCAGGCTCACGTAAAGACTCTGGAGAGTATCTACTGAGACTATCTACTTTCTCACTAAATTTTACGAAAATAGAAAATGCATTAGTATGTGCGATTCTTAAAACTTATATACTGACTGTTAGCTTAAAAATAACTCAATTATAGAAATAAATTCAATGACTTTCCAAGAATCATGAGGCCCTTCTGAGTCAACTTAGAGATGACAAAAGAACATAATACCTCCTGCCCCGTCCGTTGCCCTCCCACCGGCCCCTCAGCAAAAAAGAATAAACCCAAGAGAGCAAAACATCATGGAAATCTCCTCTTGCTGCCTTGCTGGAGAGAGAGCTCCTGGAGACCTCCCCACCTCCGATCCCCACCTTGGTCTCCTGCCAGAAGAGCCAAACTTTTCAGCTTTGCATATTTTTCCACAACTGAAATTTGACCATCATGGTTTTTTTCTTCGAGAGGTTTTTCACTCCAAAGCATATTTTAGATTGACAGAAGTCGGCTCAGGTGTCATTCCTACTTGTTGGTTGGTTTCTCTTCTTTTCTTTCTCCCCCGCCCCTCCCCTTCTTTTTAAATGACCGATAAATCCCTTCTTTCTGGTTCACTAACTTCATGCCACACCTGGTAACCAACTTCTTTAGGCAGCATTCCTTTTGTTAGAAAGTGCAGGCCTCTGTGGAGTCACCTGGAAAGCCGCCAGCCCTGAACACTGAGGGGGAACCAAGGGTCCCTGCGCTGAAGCTTTTCCATGGATTCGTCTGGTCAAGGAAGGGGGCTGAGCTGTGGAAGGGGGATCAGATTAACTTGGAAGAGGTGTCATAAGCAGCTTGGTGACTGGAGGACCTGTTGAAAAATGGAGAAGTTCAGCTTTTCTGCTTTTCCCAGCCATGGGGATTCATCAGTGAGGGTGCTTATTCACAGAGCTTGCTACTGCTTGGTGTCTGATACAATGACGCCTCAACCTTGACAAATGAGTTACCAAGTTTCTTCATTTTTTTCTTCAGACACGCAAAAAGCAAGGTTTTTTTTTTTTTTTTTTTTTTTTCCCGTGCTCTGGTTATGGCTATGAGTGGGGCTTTCTCAGGAAGATACACTGAAATGGTTTAAATCGGTGAATTAGGCAGGTTTAATGTCTTTTGAGTATCTACTCAGGCACATGGAAGATTGAGTTATGGTGCAGACGTAATTTTTCACTGAGGGCCACACAATGGATCTTTGCTCACGAACAACTGTGAGCAAAGTAAGGT